ACCGCGATGAAGGGTTCACCGTCCCCTCTTACTATGGTCTGGGCCGGAAGTAAATGAGGTCCACTAACCCCGGCCCTAGACGGCCCCAGCAGAACCCCTTGGGCCGCAATACCCTTAGCGAAGGGTCGCCGAAGTTTCAAGGGAATCAACATTTGTGCCCACGGAGGGACGCGCACCGTTCTCTCTACGAATGCCGGCACCGTCGCGAACGCCGTCCGAGTCGTAACGGGTGATGGCAAAAACGCCATGCGTCTGCCCGACGGGAGCTCAATGCATCCCTGGTCGATTAATATCCTAATCGGCATTTTGGCCAGGAAGTCCGTCCCCAGCAGGCACGGAACCGCCAGCGAGGAGGAAACAAAAATCGGCCCAGACAATTTAATTTCCCCAACACAAATTTGGGCCCGAATTTGTCCGATGATGCCAAGTGAGCCCCCGTTAGCCGCATAGAATGGTACGTTAACAGGCATCAAAGGACGGCTCTGGACAGGGAGAATATTGTAAATTAACTCCGAAATAATGGTCGCCGATGCCCCCGTATCGACCAGGATGCGCACCTCAACCCCGTCGATGTGCCCCACAACGGCCGACGACCCCGACGATGCGGCTACCACACGATCGGCCAGCACGGACCACTGGCCGGGTTCGATATGAGTACCCAGAGTGGTGCGTGATGGTGCGATGGTGCGCGATATCGGCCCCCCTCTCGTTGCGGTGTTTGAGTGCGTGACGGGCGTGTGCGTGGGCCAAACATGTGGGGTGCCGCGACTCGCCGGGTTATGATGGTGGAGCTTGTGATGAGGCCCGTCGTCCCGTTGAGGTGTCGTCCCGCGCTGATGAGGAGAGCGGCACCCCGAGGCGACGTGGCCCCGGACGCCGCAGTTAAAACACCGCGGGAGCGCCGTCGGAGGTGACGGATGGTCGGAACGGCCCGACCCGTCCCGGCCCGACCGTGCTCCCGTCGCCTGTTGCCGTCGGTGGTCGACGGCGTAGAGCTCCTCCGTCGGAAGGGTGGCTGCAGCCACCGCACGCCCCGCCGATGCCCTGCTGGCTTTCCGCCGGAGCGACAGGAGGTTGGCGTAGAGGAGCCTTGCCGCCTGGAGCGATGTCATCTCCGCGTCCTCCTGCGCGACGACAGCGATGTCAAGGTCGTCTGCCAGGAGGAGGATTTTCTCCGTGACCATAGCGTCCACGCCGTCGTCGTCCATACGAGGGAAGGCCGACTTAGCCATCGCCAGGAGGCTCGTCCGGTATGCTAGGGGCGACTCCTTCTCACCCCGCTTGCGGTCGTAAAATTGCTGTCGGCATTCAGCTGATGGTCCATAGACCCCGCCCAGCAGCTGTAGCGCCATCGGTAACATAGACCGCTTCTCTCTCGGCGCCGATGTGAGGCCGGCGAGCGCGTCGCCGTCGAGGAGCGCCGGCAGCGCGCAGAGAGCCTCCTCATCGGACCATTTCGCCATCTCCTGATGGGCGAGGAAACGTCGGCGAAAACCGGCCCAGTCTCCCTCCGCGCCGATGAACTCCTTCAGCGGGGGCAGTCTCTGATGAAGCGCAGCGGTTGTTGTAGACTCCCGCAGGCTGATGTCACCACCACTCGGCTGTGCGTCGGTGCGAACGGCCGATGGGATCGCCTGTCGCGGTTGTGATGACGCACCCTCCGGCGGTGATGACGCTGCAGCTCCAGCGACGGCGATGTCGGAGCGGATGTTCAGGCTGGCCACGCCCTGAACAGCTGTAGCGTCGATGGCGGGAATTTCAAATTCCGACTGCTCCGAAATGGCGGGAAGGCGCCCTGGTCGTTGGCTCGCCTCGCCCCGTGTTGGATCACCGGCCCCCAATCGCGTGATGGTCTCCAGCGTGGCGGCAGCGGCATACAGCAGCTCCGCCAGCCTCCCGTGAGCCAGCCGTAACGCGTCTGGCTGCGGCCCCTCTTCATTTCCATGCCCCGGTAAGGAGGCGTCAGGCCCCGGCTGCACCATGTCTTGTGGAGCCGTCTCGGGCTCGACGATCTCGGCAGTGTCTTCCTCCTGCGGTACTTTGGCCCGCGCTGTTTTCCGCGTGTCCATGTTCGAATTACTTCTGACACCAGTTGAAGTACCGGTGAGGACGCTTGACGCCGAGGTTGAGGCACACGTATATTTATTTCACAATACGACAGTGGGCATATACACACTCGAGGGGGTATCGGCCCCCTCACCCGTATAACTCGGGATACACCCCTAGCTAACTCTGTCCTAGCCCCGAATCCTCCACTAATGGGCTAGGGGAGGCTAACTGGCCCGACACTGGTAAGTCGGGCCCGGTACCCGGAGTTCCAGACCAGCTCTTACAAGAGCACCGGCTCTGGCTTTCGGGACCACGCCGCTGGCTCAGTCCTGTCCGGCCCTGAAAAGGACATCGAACTAGGGGAGTCCAGGGCTCTATCTAAGACGTCTTCAGTCTTCTTCCCTTAGCTTAAACATAACTGACTCGAGCCCTTTGAACATCCCCTTTTATACCCAACCCCTCCCTGAGGGGTGGGGCCCCGGGGGATCATAACGTTCGAACCAGCCCCCCCCAGGGTGTCTGGCTCGGATGTCGTAGAGGGCACCTCCTCGTGCACTTACGTAGCCCCGCCCACTGTGTTTGTTTTCCATAGGCTGCCATGCATAACGGGCCCTCTCTTTAACACCCCTACACAAACATAGACACAACTTCAACCGAGAGGATGGTTTTAAATTAAGCAATCATTGGAAAGATGGCATCAACCAAGCCAAACTATAGCTGCCTTATAATTGTACAGGCATAGTAGTTTATTAGCTTTTCACACACTGCTTGCCTGTTTTGGAACATACCCCACCGGCGAGCATAACAAGAGGCGGCTTAATCCTACCTTGCTTATCTACTTCCGCCATCTACATCACAAAGCTCCAGGCATAGCCGCAGCTGCAGAACAGGTCGTCACCTCACCAGCTTATACCCACCCCCCGGCCCATCCTGGCTCCTCCCCCCTCCCCTTAACCAGTATATAAGGTCGTGTCTCTTAGAGCTCTCTTCACTTGATACAGTAATTTTGCTGTGACTGTGTTGCCTCCGGAACGTCGTGATTTAATTTATTTGTTTTCTTTTTTAACCTCAATTACTTTACTGAAAAAACGCAAGAGCATGGATCCTTGCAGTCATGAAAACTTGAAATCTAGAATTAGGCAGCAGTAAAACAGACAGTTGTATACCGGTTTCATCCACATGAGCACTCATCAGTCATGTACATTCATCAGTGTTCACTGCAGTTGTACGACAAAACAAATATTTTAATTTTCACTCCATTTAACCGAGTGAGGTTTACAATTTAAACTAAACTATTTTTGTTTTACCAGGTAAGGGGCCATCCATTTTGTACGTACGCAGAAATATGTCAAAATTTGACCCCTCCACCTCTCCCTGCACGCGTACTTTTTACACCCCCCCCACCTGCTTGACACCCCCCCCCAAATCCTATAGAACGACCGATATGTAATCTACGCAGAAACGATCAAGGATTAATAATATTAACGTGTTTAAGCAAACAGATAGTCCACCGCCGGACAATCTAACTCATTTGAAGGCCAATGTAGACTAATTATTATCGAGGCTTCACCCCCCCCCCCCCATTTCCTATGCGTACGTACATTGTCAGTAGACTCCCCCATTCGCAAGCATACGTTGGGTTAACCCCCCCCTCCCCCCTCCATGCGTATGTACTCAATGGACAGGGATGGCCCCTAAGGTCCACGGAGCTATGCAGCTCTTTTTCAGAAGCGACCAGGCTACAAATGATAGCTCAAACAAAGTCGCTTATCACGTGGAAATGTCTAGCAGCCAAACAATCTAAGAGCATATTTTTAAATGTGTAGGAAAAACCCGGAGCACCCGGAGAAAATTCCATGCGACCACGGAGAGAACATGCAAACTTCCAAATGTACAGCAGGCGTCAGGGTCGAGATCGAACCCACGTTCTCCTGTATACTAGGCGAGGGAGTTAATATTTCGCCACCACGACGCCCATATCCGTATAAAGTTGTTGTTACTCTTTGGTTCTTTCGGTAAAGTCACGTAAAAAGAGAAAATTATAAATTAAATAATAGCATACGACGTTTCGATTGCAACACAAGCAATCATCATCAGGTACAAATGAAATAGAAAACGAAACCTCGTATTCTTAGAAATATAATGCAATACAACACAGATAGTCGGCTAACATAACAGTCAACACCCTACCTGGTTGATTACGTTATTCCAAAGATTGCTAAATTTAACAGAGAGATTAAACACAGAACCGGAGACACATAGACAGACACGTAAGCAGAGAGAGATAACACAGAGACACAGAGAGAGAGAGAGACAAACACAGAGAAACGACGCCTCTGTGTCGAGGCCGTAAATAGAGAGAGAGGGGGGCAGAGAGAGAGGGGGGGTAGAGAAATTAGCATGTCAATGAGAGACCAGGCGCAACAGCAGGAAACAAAATAACAAAAAGAGCGGAGACAGAGAGAGAGAAAACACACTAAATCAAACAAACTTAGTGAAAATTGGAAATGTAATGCAATGCAACACAGAGAGTCGGTCAACACACAATTGACGCATGGCCTGGTTGATTACGTTCTTCCAGAGATTGCTAAATTATAAGTTAAGTGTGAAATTTTAATTTGATGTTCAAACTATTAAATTAATACTTTGACTTCCATAAAATTATTTAAATCACTTACTTAAAAAATACATGTTTGATATTTTATTATATATCTAAAAAATATATTCACAGCCCTGCCCAACCCCCGTATGTGTTAACAGTCAAGGCGATGTCCCCAAACCTGGCAGAAATTTCACATTCCTACAGCAAGGCAGAGATTCTCCACGGGACAACCACCTTCGATTTCCCGACAAAGCGGTACCTATTTCTATCGACCCCAGAGGGATGATGGGTCGAGTCAACCATCCCCCCCACCCCCCCCCCCCAAAAATCAGGAATTGAATGGTGTTACCAGCCGCGACGGTTTCCCAACGCTCGCATCCCAGGTGCCCGACGGCCGCGGAGACACTGACCATCACGGAGAATGGGAGCTCGAGCCGCGCGGGGTTCCGCGTGCGCGTGTTCCGCCTGCTGGAGGAAACGGCGTCGCTCTTCATTCACTGCCAGCTGCGCGTGTGCGTGGAGGCCGAATGCGACACCGTACGTACACACGCACATACAAAAACATAACCCCCCGTGTAGACTTAATAGACAAGTGCTGTTCGCGAGTAGCACACTGAGGGGGTGGGTGGTCAACACCACGCCCGACCTCCTTTGTATCCCGAGTGGCAATGTTTACACATCGCACCAGGTACTCATTTGAGGCTGAGTCGACCTATGGGGAGGCCCAGGACCGGTTCAGATCACCGTGGTTGGCCGTGAGCGGGTATCTAAATCGGGTAGCCGGGTTACGAGTGTAGCTACCGCTACACTACATGTGTTCGTACATGCGATACCGTACGTATGCACACATGTACACACGCACGTATGTACACGCAGCGGGCGGTGGTGGCTACGCTGCACGTGGCTGAGCAGCAAAAATGGCAAATGTTGTATACTCCTTTACTGTGGGCATCGCAGAGCCATACCCTGGCCTGCCAGCAGAATGAAGTCCAGCAAAGTGTGGACCGATATCGTCTGTCCCTTGTGAACATAATTGAGTGTCGCCCCTCGCATGCGTGGGTTTCTTCCCACGTGTATACGCAACACTCACTCATTGGCTGAAAACATCTTATTAAATAGAAAACTGCATAGCAATTAATAGTAGTAGGTTTTTACCCTTTTAAACTGGTACAAAACTGACACCTTTATTCAAGACATCATGTTTGCAATAACCACAACACAAGTAGTCAAAAAAGCAAACAAAAAGAAGCAACTCTGATAATGATAATAATATGTATTCTTAGGTTTTTTCGGTAAAGTCACGTAGGTAAAACATAAAATAAAACAAAAATCACGACGTTTCGGAGGCAACACAAGTCTCCGTCATCAGGTGGGACCGTCACAGCCGGATTAGCTGCATCAAGTGAGGCAATGATTCAAGATGTAATCCCTTAAAAAGCAAGTTGAGGGGGAGGAGAGGGGGGGGGGGAGCTAATCAGAATGTGGTAGCCAATGAATGGAACGTATCGGGAGGGAGGGGGGGCGGGGCTCAAAGACGGCACGGAGTGCCAACGTACAACGCATCGGGAGGGGGGAGGGGGGGCGGGGCCAAAAAAATGCACGACGGCGTGGACGCGGTTGCTACTGTACAAGACATCGGGAGGGGGAGGGGGGGCGGGGCCAAAGAATGGACGACGGCGTGGGCGCTGTTGCTGTTGCACAACGCCAACGCATTGGACAGAGGGGGAGGGGAGGCCTGATACACATGTCCTTGAACTTGATTGGTCCACACCCTAGACGACTTTCTTTAGAGCCTAGTCCCCATTGGTGTTGGACCAGATGACACCAGAAGGCGTACAACTCAAACACAGTGCAATATCAGAGTATTGAGAGCTCGGGGTAAGCATTTACACTATGAGATCTCTTTTACCAGTGGCAAAATATAGTAGTAGGTTTTTACCCTTTTAAACTGGTACAAAACTGACACCTTTATTCAAGGCATCATGTTTGCAATAACTACAACACAAGTAGTCAAAAAAGCAAACAAAAAGAAGCAACTCTGATAATGATAATAATATGCACTGTCCTTGAAGTTGATTGGTCCACACCCGAGACGGCTTTCTTTAGAGCCTAGTCCCCATTGGTGTTGGACCAGATGACACCAGAAGACGTACAACTCAAACACAGTGCAATATCAGAGTATTGAGAGCTCGGGGTAAGCACTTACACTATGAGATCTCTTTTACCAGTGGCAAAATATAGTAGTAGGTTTTTACCCTTTAAAACTGGTACAAAACTGACACCTTTATTCAAGGCATCATGTTTGCAATAACCACAACACAAGTAGTCAAAAAAGCAAACAAAAAGAAGCAACTCTGATAATAATATGCACTATCCTTGAAGTTGATTGGTCCACACCCGAGACGGATTTCTTAAGAGCCTAGTCCCCATTGGTGTTGGACCAGATGACACCAGAAGGCGTACAACTCAAACACAGTGCAATATCAGAGTATTGAGAACTCGGGGTAAGCATTTACACTATGTGATCTCTTTTACCAGTGGCAAAATATAGTAGTAGGTTTTTACCCTTTTAAACTGGTACAAAACTGACACCTTTATTCAAGTCATCATGTTTGCAATAACCACAACACAAGTAGTCAAAAAAGCAAACAAAAAGAAGCAACTCTGATAATGATAATAATATGCACTGTCCTTGAAGTTGATTGGTCCACACCCGAGACGGATTTCTTTAGAGCCTAGTCCCCATTGGTGTTGGACCAAATGACACCAGAAGGCATACAACTCAAACACAGTGCAATATCAGAGTATTGAGAGCTCGGGGTAAGCATTTACACTATGAGATCTCTTTTACCAGTGGCAAAATATAGTAGTAGGTTTTTACCCTTTTAAACTGGTACAAAACTGACACCTTTATTCAAGGCATCATGTTTGCAATAACTACAACACAAGTAGTCAAAAAAGCAAACAAAAAGAAGCAACTCTGATAATGATACTAATATGCACTGTCCTTGAAGTTGATTGGTCCACACCCGAGACGGCTTTCTTTAGAGCCTAGTCCCCATTGGTGTTGGACCAGATGACACCAGAAGACGTACAACTCAAACACAGTGCAATATCAGAGTATTGAGAGCTCGGGGTAAGCATTTACACTATGAGATGTCTTTTACCAGTGGCAAAATATAGTAGTAGGTTTTTACCCTTTCAAACTGGTACAAAACTGACACCTTTATTCAAGGCATCATGTTTGCAATAAAAACAACACAAGTAGTCAAAAAAGCAAACAAAAAGAAGCAACTCTGATAATAATATGCACTATCCTTGAAGTTGATTGGTCCACACCCGAGACGGATTTCTTTAGAGCCTAGTCCCCATTGGTGTTGGACCAGATGACACCAGAAGGCGTACAACTCAAACACAGTGCAATATCAGAGTATTGAGAGCTCGGGGTAAGCACTTACACTATGAGATCTCTTTTACCAGTGGCAAAATATAGTAGTAGGTTTTTACCCTTTTAAACTGGTACAAAACTGACACTTTTATTCAAGGCATCATGTTTGCAATAACCACAACACAAGTAGTCAAAAAAGCAAAGAAAAAGAAGCAACTCTGATAATAATATGCACTATCCTTGAAGTTGATTGGTCCACACCCGAGACGGATTTCTTTAGAGCCTAGTCCCCATTGGTGTTGGACCAGATGACACCAGAAGGCGTACAACTAACACAGTGCAATATCAGAGTACTGAGAACTCGGGGTAAGCATTTACACTATGTGATCTCTTTTACCAGTGGCAAAATATAGTAGTAGGTTTTTACCCTTTTAAACTGGTACAAAACTGACACCTTTATTCAAGTCATCATGTTTGCAATAACCACAACACAAGTAGTCAAAAAAGCAAACAAAAAGAAGCAACTCTGATAATGATAATAATATGCACTGTCCTTGAAAATGATTGGTCCACACCCGAGACGGATTTCTTTAGAGCCTAGTCCCCATTGGTGTTGGACCAAATGACACCAGAAGGCATACAACTCAAACACAGTGCAATATCAGAGTATTGAGACCTCGGGGTAAGCATTTACACTATGAGATCTCTTTTACCAGTGGCAAAATATAGTAGTAGGTTTTTACCCTTTTAAACTGGTACAAAACTGACACCTTTATTCAAGGCATCATGTTTGCAATAACTACAACACAAGTAGTCAAAAAAGCAAACAAAAAGAAGCAACTCTGATAATGATAATAATATGCACTGTCCTTGAAGTTGATTGGTCCACACCCGAGACGGATTTCTTTAGAGCCTAGTCCCCATTGGTGTTGGACCAGATGACACCAGAAGGCGTACAACTCAAACACAGTGCAATATCAGAGTATTGAGAGCTCGGGGTAAGCACTTACACTATGAGATCTCTTTTACCAGTGGCAAAATATAGTAGTAGGTTTTTACCCTTTTAAACTGGTACAAAACTGACACTTTTATTCAAGGCATCATGTTTGCAATAACCACAACACAAGTAGTCAAAAAAGCAAAGAAAAAGAAGCAACTCTGATAATAATATGCACTATCCTTGAAGTTGATTGGTCCACACCCGAGACGGATTTCTTTAGAGCCTAGTCCACATTGGTGTTGGACCAGATGACACCAGAAGGCGTACAACTCAAACACAGTGCAATATCAGAGTATTGAGAGCTCGGGGTAAGCATTTACACTATGAGATCTCTTTTACCAGTGGCAAAATATAGTAGTAGGTTTTTACCCTTTTAAACTGGTACAAAACTGACACCTTTATTCAAGGCATCATGTTTGCAATAACTACAACACAAGTAGTCAAAAAAGCAAACAAAAAGAAGCAACTCTGATAATGATAATAATATGCACTGTCCTTGAAGTTGATTGGTCCACACCCGAGACGGCTTTCTTTAGAGCCTAGTCCCCATTGGTGTTGGACCAGATGACACCAGAAGACGTACAACTCAAACACAGTGCAATATCAGAGTATTGAGAGCTCGGGGTAAGCACTTACACTATGAGATCTCTTTTACCAGTGGCAAAATATAGTAGTAGGTTTTTACCCTTTAAAACTGGTACAAAACTGACACCTTTATTCAAGGCATCATGTTTGCAATAACCACAACACAAGTAGTCAAAAAAGCAAACAAAAAGAAGCAACTCTGATAATAATATGCACTATCCTTGAAGTTGATTGGTCCACACCCGAGACGGATTTCTTAAGAGCCTAGTCCCCATTGGTGTTGGACCAGATGACACCAGAAGGCGTACAACTCAAACACAGTGCAATATCAGAGTATTGAGAACTCGGGGTAAGCATTTACACTATGTGATCTCTTTTACCAGTGGCAAAATATAGTAGTAGGTTTTTACCCTTTTAAACTGGTACAAAACTGACACCTTTATTCAAGTCATCATGTTTGCAATAACCACAACACAAGTAGTCAAAAAAGCAAACAAAAAGAAGCAACTCTGATAATGATAATAATATGCACTGTCCTTGAAGTTGATTGGTCCACACCCGAGA